TTCCACTACTCTCCTCCCCCCCCCACCCCCCACGCCTTCCCCCCGCCCGCGCGACACCCCCCCACCATCGGTAGGCCCCCATCGCTCTCCCCCCCCGATGACGTTCGCCGAGCTCCGCGCCCTGCACGCCCTCATCGGCACCGCGCTCGACGACATCCAGCGCACCTACACCGCCTCCGCCGCTCCCCACCCCCTACACCCGCCCGACGCCGATCCCGACGGCACCTCGCCGCCCGACTTCCCCTCGCTCTCCGCCCCCTACGACCCGTCCTCGCCCTCCGAAGCGCTCCTCCACGACCCCGCCGTCGCCCGCGCCTGCGCCCGCATCGTCGCCGCCGCAGGCCAGCTCACCGCCGCCGTCCAGAACCCTTTCCTCACCATATGGTAAGGGCAAAAAATAAAAATCTCTTTTCCGTTCCCTTCGTTTTTTTGGGGGGGCCTGAGCGAAGTCGATTTTTTTTTTTGTTTGTTTTAGCGACGCGACGATGACGTACCACCTCCCGGCCTGCATGCGCGTCCTCGAAGCATCCCACGTCGTCGAGATCCTGCGCGAAGCCGGCCCGGACGGTCTGCACGTCGAACGCATCGCGGCCCGGGTCCCGTATCCCATCGACTCCCGCACTCTCGGTGCGTTCCACTTTTTTTTTCACCAGTTTTTATACGCATATCGTCGCTGACGGCCTATCCCCTCGGTTCAAATCAAAATCACATTGTGGAACGCTCAGCGCACGTGCTCCGCCTGCTCGCGACGCACCACGTCCTGGCCGAACGCGCGCCGGACGTGTTCGCCAACAACCGGCTTTCGTCGTACATCGACACGGGTGCGCGTCTCTTTCTTATTTATCATACCGTTCCTCTACCGCGCCATCGCTGATCGGTGATACGTTGGGTGGGGCGGGCGGGCATGCAGGCAAATCCGTAGCCGAGATCCTGTCCAACCCGGACTCCAAGTACGCCGACACGGACGGCGTCGCCGCTTTCGTAGGGCTCAAGTACGTGCCCACCCCCCCCCCTTCCCCCCTTCACCGACATCCCGAAAAAAAAAACCTTACGATGCATTTTGACAACCCCTCTTTGCTCTGTAGCACGGACGAGCTGTTCAAGTCCTCGGCGTACCTCGCCGACGCCCTCCTCCGCCTTCCCGAGGACAGACCGCCGACCCGCCGGCCGCATCGTCGCGGCGGCCAGGTCTTGCCGACGCTGCGCTCGTTCGGGAGCGGCACGTCGCGCGAGTCGCTGTTTGGCGACCCGGGGGAGGACCTGCTTCTCCTCCGTAAACCCGTTAGTCAGGACGTCACGCCTGAAGCACGAGTACAGACTCGCGTTCAAGAGAAGGAGAAAGAGCAAGAGCAAGAGCAAGTCCTGCAGGAGAGGAAGAAGGAGAGGGAGAGGGAGGGACAGAGGGACGTGCTCATGAGCCCCGGCTTCGGCTCCGGCTCGCACTTTGGCTGCGAGCCTCCTTCTGCCCACCACCCCTTCGATATCGCGGAAGGCAAGCGCGATGGTAGCAACAGAAAACGCCCGCCGCCGCCGCCTTCTTCTTCCCCGCTCACCGCCCCGCCCGCCGAGGGAGCCGGATCGGGATCGGCGACGATCCTCGCGAGCTCGTCGTCGCCGTGGAGAGTCCCCGCCTCGCAGACGTTCTCGTGGGCGCGTCCGTTGGATCTCGGGGCGATGCAGATGAAGATGACGAGGGAGGGAGGGAGAGACGAAGGAGGCGGCGGTCCGGGTGGTGGGGGGGACGAGGGGGCAGGCGGGAGCGGGAAGGCGAGCGGGCTGGGGTTGGGGTTTCGGCATCCCCCGTCTTGGGCGGCGAAGCGCGCGCGAAGGGGTTCGACCTCGAACGCGCCTTTGGTGACCGCTTCCGACTCTGCTACCGAGACCGGGACCGAGGCCGAAGAGAAGACGACGCCGGTGCCGGTCGTGACCACGGCGTTTGCGCGCGCGTTCGGGACGGACGAGCCGTATTTTGCGTGGCTCGAGTCGTGCGCGAAGGCGGGCGGGGGCGAAGGAGGAGAAGGAGAAGAAGGAGAAGGGGAAGAAGGAGGAGAAGAAGGGGAAGAACGCGCGTTGACGTTTTGCTCGCGGCTGCACCGGTTCGGCGCGGCGATGAGGGGGAGCGCGCGGTGGGAAGGCGAGAGCGGGATTTTGGACGGTAAGTTTGACCTCTTTCTTCCTCCTCCTCCTCCTCCTCACCCTCTCCTCCTGCAACACTGTATCTGACACTGTGCTTCTTTGTTTTTTGTTTTGCCAAGGTTTTGACTGGGCGTCGTTGGAGCCTGGCGCGCTCGTGGTCGACGTGGGGGGCGGGGTGGGGAGCCACGCGATGCGGCTCGCGCGCGCGTTTCCGGCGCTGAGGTTCGTGGTCCAGGACCGCGCGAGGGTGTGCGAGATGGGGAGGGAGGTGTGGAAGGTGCAGTTTCCCGGGGCGGTGGAGGGGGGTAGGGTCGTGTTTCAGGGTGCGCGTTTTTTTTTTTTTTTCCTTTTTTTTTTTTGTTCTTTTGGATAGAGGCTGACCTTTTTTATCTTGGTTGGTTTGGTCTGGTTCTGGTCCAGGACACGACTTTTTCGACGAGCAGCCGCGCGTGGCGAGGGAGGCGGATGTGTTCTTGCTCCGGGTCATTACGCACGATTGGCCGGATGCGGACGTGAGGCGCATCCTGGGTCGGTTGAGGGAGGTGGCCAAGCCCGGCGCGAGGCTCGTAGTCGGGGAGCACGTTCTGGGCGAGGCTTGCCATCTCGGCGGGCGAGGAGCAGACGGTGCATGGGACTGGCCTCTGCTCGCGAATGGTGGAAGGGCGAGCGCGTGTGGGCATTATATGGACATGACGGTATGTCCACTCTGCGCCTCTTTTTTTCCCACCCGTGGACGCGCAGCGCTGAGTGTGAGATGTGAAGATGCTCTCCATGTTCAACGCGCAGGAGCGTACCGCACGCGAGATGCGGGCGTTGTGGGCGAGTGCGGGGTGGTGCGTTGGGGAGGTGAGGAGGGCGGCGGGCAATGGCGGGTTTGGATATATCGTGGCGGAGCCTGCGGTCGAGCTGCATCAGGGACGTCTTTAGGCTCCCCGGATGCGCGGTGGAAAGGAAGCGGTTTAGTTTTATTCGTTGGATCGGCGGTCGGTATGTTCGAGCGCTGGGATGTTTTTCCGGGTGCGCGCGAGATGATCGGATGTCCCTTCTATAGATTATGTTCGTGTAATACAACATCAGCTGTTACCTCAGTTATTGCGTTGCTGAGATGAGGGATCGGATCGTCGGACGTTATGATCTGCTCAGAACCATGCTCGCTCACTCGTCAGCTAATCAAGGTACTATTGTAACCTATCAAGGAACATCCCTTTGGAACAGCCTCAAGGTAGGTAGATAGGTAGATTGCCGACGAGGTCCCGGTAGCGGAACAGCCGGTTGCTGCGCTGCACGTACGCCACTCGTGCAGTCTACAGCGTCTTCCCATCGAACATACATAAAGGGGTTGCAAGTCGTCCTGAAAGTTACGAGAAAATGTGAATAACAGGATCATGATACTTAGAGCCCTACAGTTTACTCTGACTGTAACTGTTTTCATTGTAGTCCTCGAGATGAGTGAGTCAGGCGAGAGCAGCGCTTCTTAACATCTCTGATGTTTCATACCTTCAGTTGTCATGGCCTTAACGTGAGTAATATCCACGAGTAGACTCATGCGCAGGTCATTGTAACGAGTTGTAGGTTCAAATATCCGAAGGACGCGCAGTTTCATAAAATCACGGTCTGATCATGTTTTGCTCATGCTCGACCTACGCTACTAATTATCCCGATACATAGAATTACGACACCGGATCACTGGCTGTGGCAGCCGTAAATGACATAGTAATTGCGATTGCAATGTCGTACTACCTGTCCACTTGGCAAACGGGTATTAAACGGTACTCTCCTCCTCCTGTTGGCCCTCCTTTTCGAAATTTGACTCGCTATCCGCACAGAACAAACACGTTGCTCAACCGCATGATCACGTAGTGTAATTACGACAGGAGCCCTCACCAGTATGGCGGAGCTGGCCATCCGCATATGCGTATATCCTATGCAGTGGGTGGCCATATGACCATACTCATCGTAAGAAACCAAATTTGTTACTATGCCCGACAATCTACAGCTTCGTGAATAGCCATAAGTTAGTAATTATGTTATCTGTGTAAACGGACAAGGCAGATAGGTTGATTGTAGTCTATGCCAGCTCTCTTCTGGCTATGTACGGTTGCATGTCCATGCGCAAAGCACGTCGCTGACACAAATATGTCGACCTTCACCAGGCTCAACGCGCGCCAATCTCTCAAGCAATACTCTCAAGGAAACAACATCATCGCGTCGGACAACGGCTTCCCTCTCATCCGGATGACATCAGGAACATCCTCATGGTACAAATTAGCTAGAATTAGCTGAGGTTGGAGATACTTAGAAGTAATTGTACTGATTGCACCAAAGTATGCAAATTATGCCCAATTATCTGAATTCAACAGGTCCCCCTTCAATTAGTTGTAACTGGGGATAACAGATCAGGCTCCTGGCGGTTTGGCTGCAGGAGGTTCGGGAGAAACAGGCAGCGAAATTCTAGGAGGCGAACCCATTACAAGTCAGGTTCGGGACTGTCTTCGCACAAATTACTACGATCAACCGCTCACTGACTACGCCATCGCAGCTCCTATTTTTGCGTCGTCAGGGTTGGATGATTCAACGAAGATCATTGACTGCAGTGTATACGGTGACATTGGCGCTAATGCCTGACATAGGAGGTCATCCTGTATGTGAGACGTTGTCAGCAGCTTTCCTGAGATTATCGCACTCCCGGGGATAGAGGGAAGTGCTAAATAGTGTTGCAAGCAATCGTGAGCCGTAAGCAGCATCTTATAGAAGTACACCATGTTCATGCGCCGTATCTACTCGCTGGCACCCAATACGACCATCTCAGAAACTTGTCTCCGGAGAGAGGTTGCACCGTCGGCTCCGGGGGCGTTCACGTTGCGTTCAAACATCAACTTTGGGCTGAGACCGAGAGGGAGGCAGTACAAATTTAGGCTGTCTCGTGGCGGTAGTTGGCGCCTTTTCATGAATCCCATCGCCAGTATTCCACGATAGTCCCGTTGAATGGTTCAATCCACCAAGAGGATAGTCTCTCCAGTTTGGGAGGTTGAGACTCTCGCATCGGTTCGACTTTGCGATGACCCTGCTCTTGATCTCGATCTCCCCAATTCAGGGTTGCAAAGCAGAGTTCTCAGGCGTAATCTAGAGCTCGATATCTCACCAAGTTTCATCGATATTCCTTGGTTTTCGCTTCACAGTTCGCCGATACGCCTGTGCTGACCTGGAGCAAGCTCTCCGCGACCTTCTTTCGCGTCATGCCTCGCATCCGGCCCTCAAGTGGCAGTGTCGTGTCGGAAGCCCGCGTCGCTGGTGAACGTAGGGAGGCAGATAAGTAATGTAGCGCAGAGCTTAGTGTGGATAATAGCGTGCATCACCTACAGCTGATCGGAGAACATCGAGCTCGGCGTCGCCGATTGATTAGTCAGCATGACGTGCCGGCGTCGGCTGACGTCGGGGCCGCCCGGTGCTTCCTCGATGGGCGCTACGGTGCTGGCTGCGATGCGTCTTAGACTCTGGTAGTCCATCCACTCTGGCTTGCAACTGTCTGACAACACCAGCCTTGATAAACAACAAAGAAGCCCCTCAAAAGGTGCCCATGTCGGCGCTGGCTGGCTCTATCCTCCAGCAAGCCGAACTCGCATCGCCAACAACGCTTTGTCGAACTTTACCCCTGCATTAGCGGTGCATTGCACTGCGCGCGCCAAGCTCTTGTTGCTTGAGAACAAAGACGACGCAGGAGGACATCCTGATCTATCCTGATGTACGGAGAATCAGGAATGGGGGGGGGGGGGGCTTTGTGCATATGTCACATGTCGCATTGTCGCATTGACCTCGTTCTGCTTAGCGCTCCGGGCGACATAGGGAACGAAAGCGGTCTATACTCCATTACGCCGGCCCAGACGAGGTGATTTCCTGGGCAAAACTATTCGCATGTTCCCGCTGTGAGAGCGTCACATACTGAAAGGAGTTGGGTACGCGCAGACAGGAACGCGGTCACGTTCGAGCATCTTCCCGGAGCCGACGCGCGCGTCACGAGCATAGGAACTGTGGAAACAACGCGCTGCGCGTCTTTACCGTACAACGCCTCGGTTGAAAGACGAAGGAGTGTAGCCCTCGTACAAAATACCTGTAGCAACGCGTTCTACTCCTTCCCCCGCAATCCCTCTTCTAGCGCTCTTCAGCTCTTCATCGCATACGCTCAGGTCTAGCCCACATCTCTCTCCGTTCTGTCTGCCCTTACGAACAACTTTCATCAACTTGATCGTCGCGTCTCGTTCCTCCACCTCGACAGACTCAACATGGACGACAAGTTCAATTGGAGATCCTTTGTCAACTGGGCCTGGTTGGGAATAAACCAGACGTGGGTTGCTTACATCCCACCATTATATCTTTCTCATACGAGTATATTAGGCCACCGGTCACGCCAAACCAGACCGCCACGGCTCTACCCTCTCCGGCGGCCAAAGACCCGCATGGCGCCTCCTTGTCGACCTCGCAGAAAAGCCGCACAAGTCATTCACCAATCAGCTCTACAGTCAGGTGCGACGGGTTGTATTCGTTGAAGACCCGCTGTGTCTTATTCCTTTAATTTTTCAATAGCCTTACTGGCCCGGTACACGATAAAGAACTTCCTGCAGACTCGAACGTTACGGCGCCTATACCGATAGAAGTTGACCCGAAAGTATCTCTGCCTGCAAGACGCGCGAGAGACGCTGCCATTGTGCAACTTTGGTACGACAACTTTCTGTCCTCCTAGCTCATGGTTCTTACTCATCCCTGCCCCGCTTCAAGCGTCGATCCAAGGCTACTCACACTCGATGGGAAGGAAGTAGACGGATGCATCCCGAATCTGGGAAACGGTGCTCCTTCCAAGGCCTCGGAACTACTCGAGTGGCTCTATATCAACTATGGGAAGAATCAAGTGCTCCCGGCTCCATCCGCATTCGGTCCGTTTATCAAACAAGCTTCAGCTTCTCCGAAGGATGTGTCGCCTTCTGGCTCCCGGGACGCCCGCTCAGGAAATGATCACGCCCAGCCGTCCGACTTACCGTTGCCCGAGACGGTGAACGCGACACCTCAGCCACATACTTCGCATCCACCTGCGTCGCACCTATCGACTGCTTATCAACCCGCGTCGTCTTTCGGCAGACATGCCGCCCTTCCTGGCGTTGCTCGCCCCCAGTTCGATGCTTCGCAGCCGCATATAAATCCGCGTACTCCCCAGCAACCGGTGATTTGGAGGTACCCGCACGCGCAGGCACTCCTCGTTGAACCCGTTTACGCTCAGCAGCATGTTATGCTGCCTCACGCTCAGGTTACCCGCTCTGGCGATACCCGCGTTCAGGCGCGCAGCGTGCAGCCGTCCGTTGCTCACCAGCCCACCATCCAGCAGCTGCTCTGGACCCAATACGTTCAAGCCGTCCAAGAGGGTCGAATTCGTATCCAGCAACATACCCTACAGCCCTCTCCGGCTGCCCTCCAGCAGCCAACGCTTCACGATGACGCACAGTCCGTCCGGGCTGCAATGGTTCGAGCCCAGCAGCAAGCCCGTACGCCACCTGCGGCTCAGCATCAAGCTGCCACCCCCGAACACTCGCACGGTCAGGCCGTTCGCACCGCTCATGTACGCGGTCAGGCAAGACACGGTGCAACGCCGTACGATCGTCCCGCGGCTGTTCCTGCGCAAAGATCGAGCCTTGACTCGAGGCTGAACATCCTATGCCGCCCAGCCGTTAACCTTGCCACTCGCCCGTCTGCGGAGGCACATGCTCAGTACCTGCAGATATACCGTCAACCTCCACCACCGTATACCGATCAATATCAGGCGCCTTCCTACTCCGAGCATACACAGCCCCAGCCGCAACCCATATCACGGCAGCCGATCCCCATACAGCTTCCGAATCATCACCCTCCCCAAAATCCGCATGTGATCCAGCAACAACAAAACGCGGCACTTCAGCGGTTCATGAGGACGTACCCTGACGAGTTCACGAACCCGCGGCAGTTGATGATGCTCGCTCCGGAAGATTCACACTTGCAGCACGCAGTGTTTCAGCAGTACCAGCGTCTGCCTCAGTCGTCGACCGATGACGCTGACGATGAATCCTCGTGCTCGATCGTGCCGGCTTCGGACCAGCCTGCACATTTTATACCGACACCTCCTCCGTCTGATCGGTCCACGAACTCTTCGTCTCCTGAGCCGGGCCCTTTGCGCACGCGGAAGCAGAAGAAGATTCGCAACGCGGCCGCGCCGTACGCGAAGGCGAAGGCTGCCCGTAATAAATTGCAATCGGGCAGCGAAAAGCCGAAATGCATGGGAGCCAGGCGGAAGGCTGTGGTGCTCAGGGGACCATGCACATGGGACAATTGCGAGACTGCCAACGGTGACAATCCCATCACCTTCACGCGGAGCGAAGCGCTCGCACACGTCAGGAAGTGCCACATCCCAAAGAGGGACGGGGACGCCAACTATCTATGCGCGTGTAAGCATGATGCCAGCTTTGTGACGGGCCGGCAGACGATGGTTCGACACTACGTCGCGTGTCACATGGGTATCGGGGCCTCCTGCGCGGCGACTGGCAATATTTCATCCCGATCGGACTCAGCACATCGCTCGGCCAAGACAAAGAGGGCTCGGGAGGCGAAACAAGCGGAAATCCAGTGGCCTGCCGACTCCAACGACGCAGAGGACGAGGACGAGATGTAGTCAGCACTGGAGTGACCGACTGTTCACCGTTATTTTCTTTATTGTAGAAGACACTGTCGAAGACACTGATCCTTTGAATTTACCAGATCATCGTATTTCTTGAAGCATGGACAGGAACATGTATACGTATTCAAATGATTCGGTGGGATAAATCATGTAGTTTCAATGTAGCATTTGAAGACTTTGATGTATTAGTTAGTGTCTACTGTGCTTTACTTTCTCAGCGTAACGACACTTTCCGTGTCTGGACGAGCACTTGTTTGATAAGATAAGATAAATCAGGGCAACGGCCGCTACTCAAGCCTTGTCCACGGATATCCGCAGATAACCCCTCACTGACCATGTAGAGTACCAGAAACATCCCACGGTCAGAAATCGTCAATTCGTATGTGCCCATGTATGTATCCTCTGACTTCCTGCTGTGTCCTTGCAACTACTAGTACCACATCTCCTTTCTAGACGGATACGCACTGATAGAGAAATACTCGAGCAAACTGCAAGGGGAGGCGGAATGCGGCGCTCGGCGCTCGGCACGTTAGGCTAGAGAACCCGATCCAGGGTTAGGGTTTCGGGGAGTTGGTGCGCTCGCGGAAAGTTTCTTGCCCTTGTGCCTCTCCTCATCGTCCTCGACGGCGTCCAGAATTCATTCTCGACAGGTTTCGTTACATAAAGCGTTTTCTATCCGCACAAGGAAATAATTGGTAGACGACGACTGGCACGATTCTTGCTTGCCGCGCGCCGCACACACGACATGTCGTCCGCTCTGGGGAAACGCAAGGAGCGCGAAGACGAAGATACAACGACCGCAAATCATGGGTACGCTCCATTATCCTCACCTGAATGTGACTATCAAATACTATTCGCAGTTCTACGTTGTTTGTCTCAAATCTGCCGTACACCGCGACGTCGACCGACCTACAGACGCTGTTCTCCGACATCGCTCCCGTGCGCTCGGCATTTGTCGTTACGGAGCACGGATCGGGAGTCTCCAAGGGCGTGGGCTATGTATCCTTTGCGATCAAAGAGGATGCGCAAGGCGCCTACGATAAGATTGCGGAAGAAGGCATAGAGCTCGACGGGCGGAAACTGAGGGTAACGTGGGCGGAGAAGAAGGCGCGTCTACGTTTCGTTCTTCATCGCGGAAGTCATCTAACACGAACTTGGTATGACAGGGAAAGCACGACGAGTTTCCTAAAAAGCGCAAGAACGACGACGATGCGGCAGAGTCGACTACCAAGCCGAAACTGCAGAGGAAGCAGACGCCTAAAGCGGGCCCCTCATTGTCTAAAGCCCCCGACCCGCTCGCAATCCGCACCGTTGTCGTTTCCGGCTTGCCCTCTGGACTCGACACCAAAACGCTGTGGAAGAAGGTGCGCAAGAGCGCCGGCGCCGAGAAGGTCGATTGGCCGCTCAAAGCCGCTGACGGGTCCGAGGATCCTGCCGTTGGTGAGCCTTTCCATACTCCCTCTCTCTCCTCCTTGGGCGATGCTTGATTGGGTTGCGCATGTTAGCCCACGTGTTGTTCTCCACCCCTGCCCAAGCGCAGGACGCTGTCAACAAGCTGCACGCGCACGTCTACAAAGGCGCGCTGCTCTCTGCGACGCTCAAGAAGCGCATACAGGGGCTCGCGAAGGCGAAGGTCAAGGCCTCCGCGTCTACGAAGAAGGCGAAGGACGCGCCAAGCCCGGCAAGTCGGCTCATCGTCCGCAACCTGCCGTTCAACGTGAGCGAACAGGACCTCCGCGCCGTCTTTCTACCCTGCGGCCCGATCTACTCCGTGCACATCCCGACCAAGCGGCCGGAAACGGAGGACGAAGATGCAGATGCAAATGCGGGGAAGAAGGAGCCGCGACAAAGGGGGTTCGCGTTCGTATGGATGTTCAGCAAGAAGGATGCGGAGAAGGCGATCGAGCGGTGTAATGGTGCGAAGGTGCGAAGCGGGATGGCGGAGCGGATGGTGAGGGATAAACAGCGAAAGAAGAAGGAGGTGAGGGAAGAGAGGAAACGAGAGGTGGCGGAAAAGAGGAGGCTCGCGAAGAAGGTGAAGGAGAATGAGGAGGAAGGTGAAGACGAGGGTGAGGAGGATGGTGGCGAAGCCTCGGCAGAGGACGAGGAGGAAGAAGAGTCGGCCACCAACGAGCGAGTTATTGCGGTGGATTGGGCGCTGAGTAAGGGCAAGTGGGAGGAGGAGAAGGCGAAGATGGAGCAAGAGCAGGAGGATGTTTCCGATCAGGAGGCAAGCTCGAGCAACGCAAGCTCCGCCGAAGAAGAGGCGAGCAGTGAAAGTGAAGGCAGCGTCTCGGACGCAGAGAGCGCAATTTCAGACGAGGAAGGGGACGAAGATGCGCGCAGCGCAGACGGCGACGACGACGCTCCACAAAAGCCGCAGCTGCCTGCCACGGACGTTGGCACGACGCTTTTCGTGCGCAATGTTCCCTACGAGGCCACCGAAGAGGAAATGCGCACCCTGTGAGTCAAACTGTCCTCTTTAGCGTGACTCTATGTTGACCATATGGCAAAAGCTTCCGCGCCTTTGGCCCGCTGCGTTACGCGCGCATCACTATCGACCCGGAGACAGGCCGCTGCCGCGGGACAGGATTCGCGTGCTTCTGGAACAAGGAGGACGCGGACAAGGCGATCGAGCAGAGCGAGCTGCTCAAAGCCGAGACCGGGCTTGGATCCGTACGTCCATCCCCTTCCACTCCTTTCCCTCGTCCTTCACTCATATATTCCGCTTTCCTTCTTTCTCGCGTTTATCGATAGACACCGGCGAAGGAGAAGAAGAACCCGTTCAAGCTGCCGTCGATGCTGACGCCGGACCCGTCCGCGGGCCTAGCGCGCAACCTCGTGCTGCACGGACGCACGCTCGACGTCGTCCGGGCGGTGACGAGGGACGAGGCGGGCAAGCTGAAAGAGGCTGGCGAGCGCGCACGTGAGAAGGCGGACAAGCGAAACCTGTATCTCCTTCGCGAAGGACGTACGTCTCCTCCCTTTCCTGTCTTCTATCTTCTTCGCGTATCAACGTCTTGCTTGCCCCCCCCTCTTTCTGTTCAGTGATATTGCCGAACTCGCCCGCGGCGGCGGGGCTCGCACCGGCCGAGCTCGAGAAGCGCGCGGCTGCGCACGACGCGAGAAAGCGGCTATTGAGGACGAATCCGCTGTTGTACGTGTCGCGGACGCGGCTGAGTGTGCGCGGGTTACCGACGTTCGTGACGGATCGGACCCTGAAGCGGATGGCGATCCATGCCGTCCGGGCTTTCGAGGCCGAGGTCGGGGAGGGGGTGAGGGAGCCGCTCAGTAAGGAGGAGTTGTTCGAGCCCATTCACGAGGATGGGGAGCAGAAGGAAGGGAAGAAGAGCAAGAAGGGGAGACATACGGCCGTGAAGCAGGCCAAGGTTGTGTTACAGACGGACCGGGTCGATCCCATCACGGGGAAGGGGAGGAGCAAAGGGTACGGATTCGTGGAGATGCATACGCACGCGGACGCGCTGCGCGTGTTGAGGTGGGCGAATAATAACCACGAGCTGGGCGCGCTGTGGAGGGAGTGGTGGAAGGCCGAGCTCGAGGATCTGATCAAGGCCGAGAAGGGGAAGAAGAAGGCCGAGGGAGACGATGAGGCGAGGGTGAAGAGGATGGAGGAAGAGCTGGAGAGGGTGAGGGAGGAGACAGGTGATGGGAAGGTTAAGGCGAAGGGCGCGTTGATCGTGGAGTTTTCGATCGAGAACGCGCAGGTGGTGCAGAGGCGGGCGGCGAAGATCAAGGAAGCGGTGGGTCACGGTTTCGCGATGTGCAAGACCCACTCGAGTCTTACTGACAATGTTTCGGACAGAAAACGGGAGAGGGAGCGAGGGGGCGTCGTGAAAGCGACGATCGTGCGAGAGGACGCGATGCTCAGCGGGGCGATAGGTCAAAATCGCGCGACGGCGGCGAGCGGTCCAAGGCTCGCAACGGGGATGGACGTAAATCTCGCGAAGGGGCAGGCTCGGACAAGAAGGCGTGTGCGGGCGAAGCTCGCGAGGACGAAAAGGCGGAACGCGCCAAGCGGAAACGGAGCGTGGACGACGCGAAGCCGGGAAATTCTGATGCGAAAACCGATGAGGACAAGCCCGGGCGGACGCTCGGGTCGATCATAGGGCGGAAACGGAAGAAGAGAAAGACGGGACATTGAGCTTACCCGGCGTGTATGATACTCTCATAGCCAAACGTTTGCTGAGGATGACCTCACCAACCGCTCTTGTTCTGCGTGCACTGGAACGCGGCAAAAACCGTACCAGAGGAGGCCTAGACGCCGCATGCGAGTCCGATGATGGCTGCTTTCGCACAAGCTCCTGTACCGGAGAGGTCATTGTGGACGTATGCTATGGTTGTGGAGCACGAAGAAAGGTCCAAGCTCAGGCCTGAGCTTCGCGTGGTAGGCTTGGTCTCGATCGCGCGGGAACCTTGCCAGGACATATCGTTCGAGAATCGATAGAGGAGGAGGTGATGATGTTGGCGGTATGTCGAAAAGAACGAGCTGCAGAGGATGTGTGGTTTATAGCCACTAGCCTTGAAAGGGAAACTGCTAGCGAAGATCGCAGCTGGTCAGATGCTTATGGAGTACGACACCGTTTCTCCAAATGAAACATCTCTGCCAGGAGGGGTGTTCACTCGACATGGGACCCTCCTGCCGCGAAAGCGATGGGTCTCGACAGGAAATTTGTCATGCCTATATGGATAGCCGGTGTGTTCATCCTCTCTGAGTATCTTGCGAGGAAAGGCGGACAGCGTTTATTCTCTGTTCACATATGTATACATTCCGACGTTACTTCATCGTGTTCCCAGCGACAGCAGCCCGCGATACCCCTGCCGCGACCGATGTGAGCCACAGAAAATCCATAGAGAAGCACGACTGGCTCACCCGCCTAGTAGCCCACGTTGATGAGGTAGTCCCCGAGGCCCTCGACGATGGTCGTCGCCTCGCCCGCCTGAGTGGGCGCGGCGTACTCGGCGACGAGCACGGCCTGCTTCGTCTTGACGATCACGCAGCCGTCCGCAGCCTGCTTGCCGTAGATGTGCCGGTCGGTGGCCTGGAGGGTGAAGAACTTCTTGCCGCCGAGGCGGACGCCGCTCGCCTGCACCTGCGCCGGGTTCGTGAACCCGTCCACGATCGCCTTCTGTTCCTCCGCGGAGAGCTGGGGCGGGGACGGTGAGCGCGTGCGAGGGGGTGGGGAGACGAGGGGAAGTGGGGGGGGGGGGAACGTACCGTGTAGCCGGGCGAGGAGGCCCAGATGCCGCCTGCGAGCCCGATGATGGCCGCCTTTGCGATCCTGCCGGTCCCGACGAGGTTTTCGTCGACATAAACTGCGAGCGCGAAGAAGGCGTCATGTCAGATCTTTGGGTTTGCCCAAGCTGTGAGACCGATGCGAGCGCGGACGCACTTTGCCAGGACATGTCGTTAGAGAGGAGATGCGGGAACTGGAAACGCGGGGTGGTGGTGGTGGTGGTGGTGGTGGTATGTCAGAAAGGGCGAGTTGTACCGAGATGGTATGTTGACCCAGTCCCTCGAAAAGGCAGCAGAGATCGCGGTTGATCAGATACTTATCGAGTACAGCCTCGTCTCTTCACGTTTGTCCAGTACGTCACCGGCCTGCCCTAAACCGCCCGGCGCTTTGACTCACCCCTCTTCAAGATAACGTCCAATCATCAATGCCATGGATGAACCGGCTCCCCCTATCATGACAACCCGCCGACCAACGTGAACTTTTACTCTCCCTCTTTTTCCTCCTCCCCCTCGCCTCGCCTTACCCTTCTCCCTTCACCCCCGCCGTCTCGTATACGACATAATAACGTACAACGTAACATAATTAACATGGAGGTGTTCGGCACGACCGTTCCCCGCGGCTCGTTCGTCGTCAAAGTCAACTACAGCCTTCCGCGTTTCCGCGAACTGCAGGCGCTCGACCTGAGACAACTGCACGCCGCGATCCGCGCCGACCTCGACGCGCTCGGGCGCATCCCGTACCCTGCCGCGCGCACGCTGCAGCACTGCCCGGACCCCCCTATCATGGGCACGGTCCTCTTCTCTTGGAACATATCCAAGGTACGTACCCTGTCCACGCGAAAATGTTTTAATTTCTTTTGACATATCTCTACGTTCCCCCAGCCTTTGCTGCAGAGCGCGTGCCCGAAGATCACCGGAGCTGACCGCGACGTCCTCTTCCGCCGTCACATGTGAGCTTTTTTTTTTTAATCCCCACTCCAGTTCTCCCGGAGCAGCACAATAAACGCGATCTGATCTCATCAAAAAAAAAAAAACTCCCCGGTTTCAACACGACAACAGCGTATACATGGAATACCGGTCAGTCCTCCCCTCCCCCCC